TATATAAACACTTATAAAATAACATTTAATGAATTTAAATTCAAATTTTGATATCTGTAATTAAGAATTGTGACAATCAAACTAATATTAGTGATTAAAGTTGTAATGGATAAAAAAATTGATTATGTTAACTAGGAAAGATAAACTGAAATTTTAATTTTGCAAAATTAAATGTTTGACTTCGTAGATTTTATATAACTTCATTTTTATATAAAACCATGTTTATATTTGAATTAATATTCTTTTTTCAACAATTTTTTATTTTTTAGCGCAAACATATATTGTAATACTTGATTTAACAAAAAAAAAAAAAAAGGCAACCATAGCAAAAAATAATAAGAAAAAAAAGTCTTAGCTTCTCTAAATTTTTTTTAATTTTCATTTTATTTATTTATTATCTTTTCCATACAGAGTGGATAAGTTGTTTAGGCTCTTTCATTACTTTTCAATGCATTTATCATTATCATTACATGTTTAAGACTTTGTCTTGAATTGAAAAAATGATGCTGATGAACGGTGATTAAAGTTATATTAAAAATTAATGAAAAAATAATAATTGCATTAATTACGAAAGATATATTAAAATTTTGCAAAATTAAATGTTTAAAATGACATATATATAAAGTATTATAACTTCATTTTTATATAAAACCAGTGTTGTATTTGAATTAATATTCTTTTTCAACAATTTGCTTAATTTTAGCCAAGCATATATATCAAAATTTGAATTAACCAAAAAAAAAAAAGAAAATAACTATAGCAAAAATAATAAGGAAAAAGAGTCTTAATTTCTCTAAATTTTATGTAATTTTATTTTTTTTCTAAATTTTTCATTTTTCACCTAAAAAGTTAATTAGCTGGCATAAAAAATAAAATTGAGGGAAACTTAACTATAACCCAACTATATTAATCAAATCATGTTCATCAATATAAGTTAATTAACTATGTAATCGAACAAGCATAGTGATTTACACAATTTTTAATTAGCTAAAAATAATTGTGTTAACTATGAAAGATAAACTGAAAATTTAATTTGCAAAATTAAACGTTTTACTTTCATAGATTTTTATATAACTTCATTTTTATATAAAATCATGTTTTATATTTGAATTAATATTCGTTTCTCAATAATTTTCTTAATTTTAGGCACCAAACATATATAGCAAAATTTTGATGTAACAAAAAAAAAAAAAAACTATAGCAAAAAATAATAAGAAAAGAGGGTCTTAGCTTCTCTAAATTTTTTGTAATTTTATTTTTTATTAATTTATTTTTCTCTTTTCTAAGACCTAAAAAGTTAATTGCCTGGCTGTGGGACGTATTCCGTGGACTTGACTTACTTGTTGGGGTTTTTTTTTTTTTTTTCTTTCTTTCTAGAATTGTCGAATTTCAATGGACCATAAAAAAAGATTTTGTGGAAAATTCAAGCTGGAAATTGGAGGTCACAAATTTTCTTTCAAATCATGGTGGTTAGCTTACTATGAAAAGTTGGAAAGCATAGGTAAGCTTTCTTCCTTACGGGGTAGATCAACCGGCCAATTTATGTTTCGTGTTTGTTACTTTTCAATACATTTATTGTTATCATTACGTGTTTAAGATTTAGTCATAAATTAAGAAAATGATGCTAATGAACGGTGACTAAAATTATATTAAAAATTAATAAAAAATAATAATTGTGTTAACTACTAAAGATAAATTAAAATTTTTGCAAAACTAAACGTTTGAAATCACATACATAAAGTATTTTAACTTCATTTTTATATAAAACCTGTGTTGTATTTGAATTAATATTTTTTCAACGATTTGCTTAATTTTAGACAAGCATATATAGCAAAATTTGATTTAACAAAAAAAAAAAAAGAAAAATACTATAGCAAAAAAAAAAAAAAAAGGAAAAGGAGTCTTAACTTCTCTAAATTTTATGTTATTTTATATTTTTTGCTAAATTTTTCATTTTTTATTTCATTTTTTCCCTCTTTTCTAAGACTTAAAGAGTTAATTGGCTGACCGTGAGACTTTCTCCATAGACTTGATTGGCTTGATCTCCTTGACAAGTTCTTTTTATGTTTTTTCTATACGTCGAATTTCATTCATATATATGAATGCTTTTTGTGGAAAATTCAAGTTGGAAATTTAAATTGGAGGTCTTCGAAGAAATTTCCTACGCTTGATGTGGTGGAAAACATTTTTCTTTAACTTTATATATTATGTGTTGGTAGCAATGATCAGTATGCAACCATGAAAGCGGTTACAATTTCCTTGTTTGTATTTTTTCTTGTCATCGCAGCCACTGTTATTAGCTTTTGTGATGGGAATTCCAATGTCCTTTGCATTGAAAGTGAGGGGCAAGCCCTTTTGAATTTCAAGCAAGACCTTATTGATCAATCAAACAGGCTATCTTCTTGGGTTGAAGGTGAGGATTGCTGTGAGTGGGTTGGTGTTTTCTGCAATAACTTGACTGGCCATGTCAAAGAGCTGCACTTGGGTCTTCTTTCAAAAGGACCTGATGCGGATGAGCCGGTTGCTGAATGGGTGCTTACCTTCGGTCAAAGCTAGGAGGCAAAATAAATCCTTCTTTGATCGAGTTGAAGCATATCAGTTTCCTAGACTTAAGCAACAACGACTTTGGAAGCCTGACAATTCCCGAATTCATTGGGTCGATGAAGAGCTTGACATATCTTAACCTTTCTCTGGCAAATTTCCAAGGAGAAATTCCCCATAATATTGGAAATCTCTCAAAATTGCTTTATCTTGATCTTGGACACAATCCCCTATTTGAAGCTAAAACTCTTCAATGGGTTTCTGGTCTTTCGTCTCTGCAGTACCTTGATTTGAGTGAAGTAGATCTTCGTAAAGCAACTGATTGGCTGCAATCAACACAAAAACTTCCTTCTTTGGTGGAGTTACACTTGTCAAGATGCTCTCTAAATAATGATCCATCTCCAATCAGTGTTAATTACACATCTCTTGCTGTTCTTGATCTTTCCAGAAACACGTTGTCTTCGGTGCCTACATGGATATTCAGTCTTGTAGTCTGTGTCCATTGATCTTAGTCTAATGGAGTTGAAGGTGTGATTCCCAATGGTTTTCAAAACATGTCTTCTCTCAAATTTCTTGATCTTAGTAGGAATGCCTTCTCTTCATCGACACTCAGCTGGTTGTCTAATTTAAACCATCTTCAATTCCTTGGTCTTAAAAATGTCAGTCTGCAAGGTAATTTTTCAAGTGCCATTGGAAACTTAAGCTCTCTTACTCATCTTGATGTTTCAAATAACCAGCTTGAAATTATAGAACCCAAATGTTTGGAGAGTCTTTGCAATCTGAGGGGGATGGATTTGTCAAACAATGGAATTGATCATGAGGTATCAGAAATCATAGTGAGTTTGTCTAGATGTAGTTTGGATCGATTAGAGTCATTAAATATTGCATCTAACAAACTTTCTGGCCATTTACCTGATCAACTTGGCCAATTTAAAAATTTGGCATACCTTTCCCTTTACCGAAACTCCATTTCTGGTTCCATTCCAATCTCAATAGGGAAGTTGTCATCATTGAAAGTTCTTGATGTTTCATACAATCGATTGAATGCAACTCTTCCTCAAAGTTTAGGACAACTTGGGAATTTGGAAGATTTAGACGTTAGCAATAATATGTTGGAAGGAAATATATCAGAAATGCACTTTTTTAATCTCACAAGATTGAGATTTCTTTTGGCATCTAACAACATGTTAACGTTTAAACCAAATTCAAGTTGGATTCCTCCTTTTCACTGTAAAAGTATTGGATTGGGTAACTGGCATCTTGGTCCGCAATTCCCTCAGTGGCTACAATTCCAAAAGAACTTGTCTTTTTTAGATATCTCCAGTGCTGAAATTTCAGGTGTCATTCCCACTTGGTTTTGGAACCTTTCGACTCAATTTGAATATCTAAACCTTTCCCATAACCAACTAGGCGGGGAGATTTCATATTTATTGATGAGTTCGATGGTTGACTTGAGATCCAACCAATTCACAGGTCCATTGCCACGGGCATCCTCTGATTTGGAGTTTTTATTTTTGTCTAAGAATCTAATTTCAGGATCCTTATCTAGTTTTCTTTGTAATTCCCAAACTAAACTGGCAACTTTGAGCATTCTTGACATTGAATCAAATCTTCTGTCAGGTGCAATTCCAGATTGTTGGAAATTTTGGGAAGTTTGCAAGTTTTAAATTTAGGAAACAACGATCTAACTGGGACAATTCCTATATCCTTGGGATGTATGGTTCATATTGGGTTATTAAACCTTCGTAACAATAACTTATTTGGAGAAGTACCATCCTCATTGCAGCATTTAAATGGTACGCTTATTCTTGATCTTAGTGAAAACCAACTGACGGGAAGTATTCCAGCATGGATTGGAGACAAACTCTCAAAACTCGTGGTGCTAAACCTCCGTTCAAATAACTTTCAAGGCTATATTCCTGATCAAATTTGTACTCTTAATTCTCTTCAGGTCTTGGATCTTGGTTATAACAACATTTCAGGAGCTATTCCAAAATGTTTTAGTAACTTAAGTGCCATGGCCACAAAACCCTCCGACCAACACCTAAGTTATTGGGCTTTCGAATTAGACTTTGATAACATGTTTTATTTGGGTGCGTTATTGGTGACAAGAGGAAGAGAGGATGAATACAGTACCACACTTAGACTTGTTACTAGCATAGACCTTTCAGTTAATAGTCTCACAGGAGAGATCCCCAAAGAACTTGGAAATCTTATGGGGCTGCGGTCATTAAATTTGTCAAAGAATCTCCTAACAGGAAAGATACCAGAGAACATTGGCAATATGGAGGTGTTGGAATCTCTTGACTTGTCGATGAACCGACTCCATGGTGAAATCCCTTCAAGTTTCTCCAATTTGAATTTCTTGAATCACTTGAACTTGTCCTACAACAACTTGACGGGACAAATTCCATCGGGCACCCAGCTCCAAAGCTTTGACAGGTCTTCTTACATTGGCAATCATCTTTGTGGACCTCCAGTCACTAAAAATTGCAGCGGAAATGGCGAAACGCCTGATTTTACAAATGGAGGTAGCAGTGGAGGAAAGAAAAGATCTAAGGTGAATTGGCTTTATGTGAGCATAGTGCTTGGATTTGTGATGGGGTTTTGGGGAGTTGTGGCTCCCCTGTTTTTCATCAGGTCTTGGAGGTTTGCTTATTATCAAAAACTGGAGCAAATTGGTGATAAGCTATACGTGTTTTGGGCTACTATTGGTATGTAATTATTTGTATTGGCAGCACATTTCGGTGTGGTTGGTAATGTAATAACTTGATTTGCATATTCTTTACTTAATCCATGTATTCGGATTCAGAAGTGATATTACATGTTGTAATTTATTGAAATAAAATAAATTATGTTAATGTATTTGACTCATGTATGTTTGAATTTAATTCAATATGAGTTGAAGATACAATTTTTTATAAGTCATTTAATTTGAAATATTTATTATTCTAGTCTTATTTATGATTTTGGTTTGTTATTCAGAAGTAAAATTTCAAAAACTACAAATTTTTATAAATCCAAAGGAATTGAAAGCTTTTATTGTAACTATATAAAAATTGTAGAGTTTACGGGAAAAAAAAAGTATTTGGAAATGGGCCGGATTTAACCAGCCCGTTTTTGTCAATTCACTCCACCCTACAAACCCATTAATGAATCAAGCCTAATAGTCTTTTTACCCTATTTTATGTATTTTTTTAATTCTATTTATAAAAATTTTGAAAATAATAATAAATATAAAAATATAAAAAGGCAAAAAAATTAAAAAATTAAACGCAAATCTAAATCATCATAAAAAATTTTAGTCGTATTTTTCTTTTAAATCTAAATTATCATAAAAAAATTTAGTCGCATTTTTCTTTCTCTTTTTCTAAAAGTTTTGAAAAATGTTTATGATTTAAAATAAATTAAAAAAATCTTAGATTTGATCAAATAATTTATAAATTTGAAAATAAAAAATAAAAGTACACATCATAGCAAAAAAAGCCAACAGCAAAAAACGTGACCATAATAAATTAAATATTTTTTAATTTTGATATATTTATAAGATTCAATTTGTACATTACAGGAGTTTTAGTTTTTAGTATCGTTTTTTTTTTTTACGTTTAGCGACGATTATAAACGCCACTAAAAAATTTACAGCGTTTGTAAAAAACACTAGTAAGAATGTTGCTTATACACGCATCGCGAAAAATAACGATTTTTTTTATAAAACGTTGCTACATTAGCAGTGTTTGTATTTGAAAAATTTTATATCTAAAAAATATCGTTATATTAACTGCATTTGTATATTTGACACACCGTTAATTTAGTGACGTTTTAATTAAATATTTTTAAATTTTGACAGATTTACATAAGTTAAATTTTTATTTTATTTTTATTAAAAATAATTATAAATAATGGGATCAAATTCTAATAATGGATAAAATATATAAAATAATGACCAATGTATATATGAACAATCAAATTTTTGGCCAATAAAATATTAGAGACTAATTAAAGAGTGGCAAATCATCCAATTAAGGCTGGAAGGTTATGCTTAAGTAGGGTGTGAATTTGAAGAAAAAAAAATGAAAAAAAAGTAGCACTTGAGGGAAGAGGTTAAACTAACCTATAATGGCACCTAGAAAGTGACCACTGACTTTTACATCTTATTATCAATTCAAAAAGTTATTATAACATCAATTATGCTAGTTTAAGAAACTTATTTATAATAAATTTTGACATAATTAATAAAAGAAGGATTATATGAAATAACTATTCAATGTAAAAATATATCTTTTTTATTTTATTAAAATCACATCATAAAATAATATTTTAAAAAATGTTGATTATTTATTTTATATTATATGTTATTATTAGATAGGTAAATTTTTATTTCAACAGCATTTACTTATTAGTGGTACGTGAAAAATTAAAATTAACCTTTGTCAATAATATGATTATATTATATAATTTAAATGAAAAGCATATATATATATATATATAAAGTATTCTTTTTATAAATTCAAAGTCTAATCTAATTGATTTATATAGATATTTTAAAAAATACTTCTAATCGGATTAAAATTTAAATTTATGCACTTATAATTCTTTTTTTAATTCTCAAATTGTAATTTATTTTGTATAAAAAATAAAATTACGACAAACTTAACTATAACCCAACTATATTAACCAAATCTTGTTCATCAATATAAGGTAATTAACATTGTAATTGATCATTCTAAGCATAGTGATTTACTATTTTAATTAGCTAAAAATATAAGTTATAGGCAGGACATAAAAGTGAAACATCATGGGTGATGTAAGAGAATTTTAACTTGATCTGGCCACAATGCCCCGACAAGTATTCCTTTTGACTCAGCTGTTGATTCTACTATTAACGACTAAATAATGATGTTCGACGCTAATAACTTGTTCATATAATTTTACTCTCTTTCCATCGTTTCTTTAATTTATTCTTTCTTTCTTTTTTTTTTTTTACTTTTTTAAAATAAATATTTGAATAATATAGCCTTTCCCTCCCTTGCTTGTAATTACTGTATATATAACACTGAGCTTCAAATTTCATTTCCTATGACCAAAACCAAAAAGCAAAATCAAAGAGAATTAATTATAAGATCGAAGAAGAATCGTTTCCATAATAAGAATGACTTGATTTTCATACATGGACTCTTCATTTTTTCAATACCCAAATCTCCAATTGTCTCTTGAATCCTCTTCTTCCTATATTTCTCAAAAAATTTCTCACTAGAATCATTCAATTATCTCCATAACCAAACCCTTACAATGGAAATGACTCCCGTGTAATGTTCCTTTGGGAGTCCTAAATCAAGCATAGGAAAACACTTTTGATACCACATCCGTTAATAGTTTTAGAAAGGATCATTAAGTGAACTTGAATGCAAATGAAGATGAGACAGGAAAGGAGGTTTAGTATAGAGGAGTTAGGAAGAGGCCATGGGGAAAATAGGCAGCTGAGATAAGGGATTCCATAAGGAATGGTGTTAGGCTTTGGCCTGGAACCTTGGATATAGCTGAGGCTACAGCTAGTGTATGATCAAGTTACACTCGCAATGCGAGGTCCGATGGTGATACTCAGTTTTCCAATGGATACAGTTTATGATTCACTTCAAGAAATGAACTATGGACTTGAAGAAAGTTGTTCACCTACTTTGACAATTGAGAAAAGGAACTCCATGAAGAGCAAAAGATCAGGGAACACGAAGATCAAGAAAGAAGGAAATGGGGAGGGAAAATATCCTGGTGTTTGAGGATTTAGGAGCTGATTATTTGGAGAAGCTTCTAAGTATATCTGAGAGTGCAACTCCTTATTGGTGAATAATTGAGTTCAAACACCAACATTTTTTCTTCTCTTTTTTGTTTCTTCTCCCTTTTCAATTGAGATAGTGGAGGAGGACCAAATTTTTTGTTGGATATCGTCTGTGAATTTGTAAATCTTTGAGATGATGTACAATCAAAGTTTAGTGCTATGCATAATTTTAGCCAACAATAATATTACATACTAGTTGAACATTTCTACAAATTTTCATTCTTCTATATATACATACATATATATGATAACAATTTCTAGTTATTTTGAATTCATAGAGTTATCATCTATATTAATCATATATTAGTAGTAGTTTTATTTTCTTTTTTGCTTAAAAGAACACTTGAAAATAAAGGTCGTTGCGCCAATTTGTATTCTCGTTTCTTTTTTTTTTGGGTATAAAAGAAAATATGTTTTTCTAATTTATAAGATTTCTGTCCATATCTCACCATATCCTTATCAGTAAAGCCATTCTATTTTCTTTTCAATGAGGTTTTTATTTTCTTTTCGGGAAAGAAGAATATTAACCACTTTTTCCTTGAGCAATATGTGCAATTGCCAAGGCAATTTGGACACAATTTGAATTAGATGAAGCTCTAATTGAACTATAACCAATTTGGCTGAAGGCTAACCGAATCACTATCATAATTTATAACTAAAACTGTTTTTAATGTGGAAAAGAAATCAATCCCCCTAAATCCAAGCCCATGGATGTGTTGTTACCATCATGAGCTTTTCGATATATAAATTAATCAAAATTGACCAATCATATTATGGATTTAAATACAGAATTAAACTAGGATCATACTTAATTAATATCATACTACATGTTCGAATATGATACCACTATAATTATTTGTAATTTGACATTAATTGACCTAAATCTGGATTACTTGACTGTGTTAGCCCACAATATAATTGCAAATACTCTGCACTGGGGACAAGGGTTTCGGAATGTCTGGGAAGCCATTGCACCATAAAGGATCAGCATTTCACCGAATCATCCGAGCTTCATGTGTCAAGGTGGAGATTTCACAAGGGGAAATGGCACTGGTGGAGAATCAATCTATGGCACGAAATTTGCAGATGCGAATTTCATGCTCAAACATATCGGACCTCGTTGTTTGTCAATGGCCAATGCTGGACCAAACACCTATGGTTCCCAATTCTTTATATGCACTGAGAAGACTCCATGGCCTGATGGAAAGCATGTTGTGTTTGGTAAAGAGTGGATGGATAAGCGTTGTCAAGGAGATGGAAAAAGCTGGCTCAGACAGTGGGAGAACTTTGCAACCAGTTGTGATCGAAGACTGTGGTCAGCCAAAAGATAATTGGAGAAGCTGGGAATGATGAAGTACTGTATCTTTTTTATGTTTCTGCATGGCAATTTGGACTCTATCCACTTTGTTAGTCACTGATAATGTACGTTCCAATAGAAATTTGAGGCATTCCTGAAGGAAAATTTGTTTCAGTGTCATGTTTTATCAGATTATACATTTTTGGTTAGGAGAGGAACTGATCAATTTCATTTATATTGTACTTGGATCACAATTTTATTTCCAGCACATGATACTTGAATTATACTAGATCACAATTAACAGAACATAGACGAGGACTCTTATTCATGGGTTAAGCGAACTGAATTGGGCAGGCAATGGAGATGGGGGTGGCCTAAAAGGTTAGTAAAGTTGTTGCTGTAGAGGTTTGGGGGGTTGCTGTGGATTAGAATAGCTGAGATGGGTTTTAGAAGGTGGGAAAGGGAGGTGAAGGGAAAAAAACAGATGGGTTTTGGTTCAAAAATGAAGAAAAGAAAGGATTTTGGCAATTGGTGATGGGTTTAAGAGAGTATGATGAAACCATGGTGAGGAAGAATAGAGGTGGAAGATTGTTATTAATTTTATTAACAAAATTAATAAAAAAAAATACACTAATTGCGTTAACTGTGAATAATATAT